CAAAATAAGGTATACGTTACATAGACTAGGCTTAAAGAAAACATGAATTTAAACCTCTACTGATTACCTTAGCTCAGACATAAATAATTCACATCTGTGACTACTCAATTTCAAAACCTCGCATTCACATCCAATTAAGAGGGTATTCTCTGCCAGGCATATATCAGAACTTACTAAAGACTGAATTAAAGTTTAGATATTAAAAATTAATATTACACCCACCCCCCTTAAACCACCTACACCACTAGGTAAAAGAGACCAAATAATTAAGGATTTTTTAAAACAGAGCAAAATCCCTTTACTCCCCCAAACTGCCATCAGTGACTAACAGCGTCTGCCATCAAAGATTTAAAATCAGGGAAAAGTCCAGGCCCTGACGGACTGGCAACCCAATATTACAAAGCTTTTTCAGAACTACTAAAAAACCCACTGCTTCAAACATTAAACTCTTTATGTTCACAACAACATACATCTGAAACCTTTCTCCTGGCACACATTACCGTGATACCTAAACTCAATAAAGATCCTATGGATTGCTCCAGCTATAGGCCGATATGTCTCCTCAACATTGATTTGAAACTATTACCTAAGTTGCTTGCAAAACCGCCTTCGACCTTGGCTGGGAAAGATAATCGGGCCTGAACAAGTGGGTTTCGTGCCGGGAATGGAGGCTAGAGACAATATTATCAAAGCTCTTAATTTGATTTATAGAGCAAAACAGAAAAATATAGGACTCCTTTTATCTACTGACACTGAAAAGCCTTTTGATAGGGTTGCATAAGACTACATGTTTGCCACATGCTCCAATATAGGCTTGAAACAGAAAATGCTTTCATGGATCACCACTATGTATAGTTCTCTCACCGCTCAAATTAAAATAAATGGTACATTTTCAGACAAAAGTATTATCAAAAATGGTACAATACAATGCTTTCCCTTATCCCCATTCCTTTTTTTTAGCATTAGAACCTTGAATTCACATGATCAATCAAAACAACTCCATTCAGGAATTCCCCATAACTGGGAGAATGTATAAGATTGCTGCTTATGCAGATGATTTGATATTTTTCCTGTCACAACCACACACATCAATACCTAACTTAATGCACACTTTTCAAATTTTTAATTATTTATCCAACTTCAAAATTAATCTTATTAAATCAGAGGCACTTAATTTGATGCTCTCACAGAAAAATCTTAAATCCACACAACAGAATTGTTCTTTCTGATGGACCAAAAAGCCATGAAATATCTGGGTATATAGCTCACCCCTGCGCTAGAGAACTAGGGAACCTTTACACTCACAATTTCATCCCACTTCTGAGAAATACAGAACAAGATCTTAAAAATTGGAATAATAAAAATTTCTCCTGGTTTGGCAGAGCAGCTATTATAAAAATGACCATCTTGCGAGATTGCTATACTGCATGCATGCTTTACCTATTAAATTGCCATCTAGTTTTTTCAAATGATTACTACACATTCAAAGGCAATTTGTTTGGGCCCACAAAAAAACATGCATACACTTCTATTTGATCACTAGATCTAAACAGGCAGGAGGAATGGGCCTGGTGGACTTCAAACTATACTATTGTGCTATACATTTGGCTAGAGTGTTGGACTGGCATTGCCATGCTAAATATAAAGATTGGATTGCATTAGAAGATTCCTCGATCTCTCTGCCGATCCAGTTTTTACCATGGACAGGTAAATCTTTTTATCATAAACAAATAGTTCAACGCTCTACAATTGGTGCCACTTTAGAGATTTTTCATAAACTTTCAAGATCCTGGGATATAGCAAGTGTACCATGTCCCTTAACACCTATTGCCAATAACCTTGAATTTCCACCAGGCCTATTTATAAGTATTATACAGCAGCAGGGAGGAGGCCACCACAAGGCCCCATAAGTCTCCCTGGGCCTCGAATAGTCCGCCGCGGCGCCAGACCCAGCAGGGCCCACCGCTGCCCACAACGATCAAGCCAGCGGCCTACAGCGCACAATCCGGCTGCCCACCGGTCTCCTGCCACCCCAATAACGACAGAGGGCGAGCTCTAAAGGCCCCCCCAACCCCACCAGCAGGAGGGGAATGGCACATGTAAGAAGCGGCACTTGTATCATACTCCACGCCTGAAAGAGGGACCAGAAGTGAGCCTGCTTCCATGCTGCCGAACCCAGCAGGCGACCTCAGCCTGGTGAGGCCTACCATCGCCCTCCACGACTCAACCCTGCCCTGACCAGAAGCCCATTTGATGACCCCCGGAAACACTTTCACTGCTGACGTTCATCCCTCACTTCCTCAAGCCAAACCTCACTCCTCAATCTGGGACTGACACAAACTGGAACTTGCAGCCTGACTACCCTTGGCCACAACTGACAGAACTGAACTCTACCCATCCTGATCCTAAGCACAAGAACTCTTGTTATGGAAAGTTACAACTACGAGATACGCCACTGCAGAATGATCATACCAAAAATCTCAAGCGACGCAGTCATGCGCTGGAGCGACTATGGCGCAAAACCAGATCCCAACAAGTGTTCACCTGATATAAATCCGCATTCCTCACCTACACTTCCTCCAACCACGCTGCCAAGCAAGCCTACTTTGTAACCCTCATCAATACCCTCTCCTCCAGTCCTCGCCGGCTCTTTTCTACTTTCAACTCTCTCTGCCCCCACCTCTACCCAGTACCTCAAGCACTTGCTTTGGAAGTGCTAACCACTTCCAAAGCAAGATCGACGCTATTCGTAGGGACATCACCCACTGCCCAGACTTCCGCCCCACCTAGCATCCCTCCCACGAAAACCCCCTCAACACTCCTCTCTTTCAACCTCACCACTGTCCAGACCTCCACCCCGCCCAACATTCCTTACACTAAAACCCCCTCAACACTCCACTCCTTCGACCCTGCTACCACTGAAGAGGTCACTAAGGTCTTCTCTGAAGCACGCCTTACCACCTGTCCCCTTGACCCTGTCCCCACACAACTCCTACGCTTCCTCACTCACATCTTTAATCTGTCCCTCTCTACTGGCGCATTCCCCTCCCCTCTGAAGCACACGCACATCACTCCCATACTGAAAAAACCCTCCCTGGATCCCACCGACCTAAACAACCTTAGACTCATCTCTCTGCTGCCATTTACATCCAAATTCCTTGAGCGCTTAGCCTATAATCACCTGAGTTCCCACCTCACCGACAACAACCTCCTTGATCCCCTACAGTCTGGCTTCTGTCCCCTACACTCCACCGAAACCGCCCTACTCAAACTCACCAATGACCTGCTAACTGCCAAAGCCAATGGCCACTACTCAGTGCTCCTACTCCTCGACCTCTCTGCGGCTTTCGACACGGTTGACCATCCCCTCCTCCTCAAACTATACTCTTTTGGCCTCAGAGACTGCACTCTCTCCTGGCTCTCTTCCTATCTATCACAGTGCTCCTTCAGTGTTACTGTTAGGAATGGACTGGCCAGCAATGGTGGGACTCACCTGCCTTTTGATCTGCAGTACCAGGGCTGGCCAGCGGGTGTTCCCAGCAATCAGAGACTCAACTCTGCAGCCAGCTAACACCTGTAACTGATGATGCTGGGGTATTTAAGGGATGGCCAGACCCACAGACTCTGCCTTGGTGTTGTGTTTCTCTTGGGCCCTGTATCCTGTTCCTGCTCTCTGTTCCTGCTCTCTGTTCCTGTCTGATTCTCTGCTGACCCTGCTCTGATCCCTGGCTTGTCTGACCATCCCTCTGCCTGACCCTCTGTACTACGCTGCCTGCTACCTGTTCTGATCCCTGGCTTGTGACCCTGACCATCCCTCTGCCTGACCCTCTGTACTACGCTGCTAGCTACCTGCTGAACCTGGCCTGTGACCCCGACCAATCTCCGCTTGCTCCCCCTGTACCTACCTGCCCAATTGATATTGACCCGGCCTGCCTGACGACGCTTGCTTGTATGTACTGTTATCTGTGGGTGGTTGGTTTGGTTTGTTTGCACTGTATTATGTTTAGTATTGCACTGCGTTTATGTTTGTATTGTAAGTGTTAATAAATTATATTGTTTATCACATATCTGAAGTCTGCGTTTCCCTGCGTCAGCCACACACCTCTGGTCACACCTGGGAGCCCTGACATTACACCAAGGCCAATCCTGACCAGAAGTGGCTGCACAGGGAAGCCATCTTGGCTTGTTGATGGGAAGGATGGATCTTGATGAGGTTGAGTATTTATATCTGCTAGTGTTTGATGACAGGGAGTATGCTTATCAAACTCTGAAGGAGTATACCCGGGATGAATTGCTAGAATGTATACGGCTCGCTCATGTTCTAGTAGATCAGGGCACAGAGTTCTCTGAGGTGCAGCCATTGATTGAGGTTTGTGCAGAGTTGGTTTCATCTGGTTCCCCCGAATGCAGGGATGAATTTTTGCCACCATTTAGTGCAGACCAGGTTGAATCCCTGGTGTGGTTATTAGAGGATGATGTGGGTTACTTTCTGGAGCGTTATTCCACATGTTCACCACAGACACTAAGAGATTGTATAAACGCAGTGCAGTCATTGACCAGACAGACTTTGTGTAAGCTCAGCTTTGTTCAACCCATACTGCAGACATGGACAGATTTGTTGCACCCAGCCTCAGTCAGCTTACAAAGACCCAGTCCTGCTTCTAACTCTACTCCTGTATTCCCACCAGCTCCTCCAGTTACAGCCCAGTATACTTGGCTATCTACCGCATGTCAGTACCCTGTTCCCACTCGCTGCACCTATCCTGCCTTTAACCCTGTAAAAAAGCCCTCTGTAGCAACTGCTCCCTCTCCTGTTCCATCCTCCAGTTCTTCTCTGTCTCCAGCTGCTCCATTCGTTTGCAGACCTGCGTTTACTTGCAGTGCTCCAGTAGTTAAAACCAGAAAAAAGCGAAAATTCTTTCCAACCAGTACCATCCTGCCAGTATCCAAACCGGTGAACCTGCCTTCCGTGGTTCAGACTGATGCCTGTACGCAGCCTGATGCCTCTACTCGGCCTGAAGCCTCTACTCGGCCTGAAGCCTCTACTCGGCCTGATGCCTGTACTCGGCCTGATGCCTGTACTCGGCCTGAAGCCTCTACGCGGCCTGATGCCTCTACTCGGCCTGAAGCCTCTACTCGGCCTGAAGCCTCTACTCGGCCTGATGCCTCTACTCGGCCTGATGCCTCTACTCGGCCTGATGCCTCTACTCGGCCTGAAGCCTCTACTCGGCCTAATGCCTCTACCCAGCATGATGAACTGATCCAGCCTGACGATCCTATTAGGCCAGTTGACTCGATGCCCGCTGTTGATCCAGATGATCCGGTACCTGATCCGGTGCCCGCTGTCGTGCCAATTGACTCAGAGCCCGCTGTCGTACCTGGTGACTTGGTGCCCACTGCCTTGCCAGATGACGCGGTGCCCGCTGGCAAGCCAAATGACCTGATGCCTGGTGACCTAGTGTCCGCTGTCATAATCCGGTACTGATGACCCGGTGCCCACTGTCGGGCCTGTTGACTCGGAGACCACTGCCTTGCCAGATGACGCGGTGCCCGCTGTCGAGCGAAATGACCTGATGCCTGGTGACCCGATGCCCGCTGTCCAGCCAGACGATTCAATGTCTGCCCCAGTGCCCGCGGTCATGCCAGTTGACTCGGAGCCCACTGCCTTGCCAGATGACGCGGTGCTCGCTGTCGAGCCAAATGACTTGATGCCTGGTGACCCGATGCCCGCTGTCCGGTCAGACGATCCAATGTCTGACCCAGTGCCCGCGGTCATACCAGTTGACTCGGAGCCCACTGCCTTGCCAGATGACGCGGTGCCCGCGGTCGAGCCAAATGACCTGATGCCTGGTGACCCGATGCCCGCTGTCCGGTCAGACGATCCAATGTCTGACCCAGTGCCCGCGGTCATACCAGTTGACTCGGAGCCCACTGCCTTGCCAGATGACGCGGTGCCCGCTGTCGAGCCAAATGACCTGATGCCTGGTGACCCGATGCCCGCTGTCCAGCCAGACCATACAATGTCTGACCCAGTGCCTGCGGTCATACCAGTTGACTCGGAGCCCACTGTCGTGCCTGGTGACTCGGTGCCCGCCGCTCCGCCTGGGGGCCCGAGACCTGTTGCTCCGCTTGGGGGTCCAGCGCCCGCCGCTCCGCCTGGGGATCCGGCGCCCGCCGCCCCGCCTGGGGGCCCGAGACCTGTCGCTCCGCCTGGGGGTCCGGCACCTGCCACCTGCCACTCCGCTTGAGGGCCCGAGACCTGTCGCTCCTCCTGGGGGTCCGGCGCCCGCCGCTCCGCCTGAGGGCCCGAGACCTGTCGCTCCGCCTGGGGGTCCGGCGCCCGCCGCTCCGCCTGAGGGCCCGAGACCTGTCGCTCCGCTTGGAGGTCCGGCGCCCGCCGCTCCGCCTGAGGGCCCGAGACCTGTCGCTCCGCTTGGGGGTCCGGCGCCCGCCGCTCCGCCTGAGGGCCCGAGACCTGTCGCTCCGCCTGGGGGTCCGGCGCCTGCCGCTCCGCCAGAGGGCCCCGAGACCTGTCGCCCCGCCTGGGGGCCCGGTGCCTGTCGCCCCGCCTGGGGGCACGGTGCCTGTCGCCCCGCCTGGGGGCACGGTGCCTGTCGCCCCGCCTGGGGGCCCGGTGCCTGTCGCCCCGCCTGGGGGCACGATGCCTGTCGCCCCTCCTGGGGGCCCGATGCCTGTCGCCCCTCCTGGGGGCCCGGTGCCTGTCGCCCCGCCTGGGGGCACGGTGCCTGTCGCCCCGCCTGGGGGCACGGTGCCTGTCGCCCCGCCTGGGGGCCCGGTGCCTGTCGCCCCGCCTGGGGGCCCGGTGCCTGCTGCTCCGCCCGGGGGCCCGGTGCCTGCTGCTCCGCCCGGGGGCCCGGTGCCTGCCGCCCCGCCCGGGGATCCGGTGCCTGTCGCTCCGCCCGGGGCCCGGTGCCTGTCGCTCCGCCCGGGGGCCCGGTGCCTGCCGCTCCGCCCGGGGGCCCGGTGCCTGCCGATCCGCCCGGGGGCCCGGTGCCTGCTGCTCCGCCTGGTGGCCCGCTGCCTGCTGCTTCGCCTGGTAATCCGATGTGCCTCTGCCCGGAGTCCTGCCCGATGTGGCCTGTGCCTCTGCCCGGAATCCTGCCCGATGTGCCTCTGCCCGGAGTCCTGCCCGATGTGCCTCTGCCCGGAGTCCTGCCCGATGTGCCTCTGCCCGGAGTCCTGCCCGATGTGCCTCTGCCCGGTGTGCCTCTGCCCGGAGTCCTGCCCGGTGTGCCTCTGCCCGGAGTCCTGCCCGATGTGCCTCTGCCCGGAGTCCTGCCCGATGTGCCTCTGCCCGATGTGCCTCTGCCCGGAGTCCTGCCCGGTGTGCCTCTGCCCGGTGTGCCTCTGCCCGGTGTGCCTCTGCCCGGTGTGCCTCTGCCCGGAGTCCAGCCCGGTGTGCCGCTGCCCGGAGTCCTGCCCGGTGTGCCAGTCTTTGATATCCCGCCAGTTGCCAGACCCGGGCGGTGGAACATTTTGCCCAGCTAGGACTGTTTGGAGCGTCCTGAGGCCGCTCCTTGAGGGGGGGGTACTGTTAGGAATGGACTGGCCAGCAATGGTGGGACTCACCTGCCTTTTGATCTGCAGTACCAGGGCTGGCCAGCGGGTGTTCCCAGCAATCAGAGACTCAACTCTGCAGCCAGCTAACACCTGTAACTGATGATGCTGGGGTATTTAAGGGATGGCCAGACCCACAGACTCTGCCTTGGTGTTGTGTTTCTCTTGGGCCCTGTATCCTGTCCCTGCTCTCTGTTCCTGCTCTCTGTTCCTGTCTGATTCTCTGCTGACCCTGCTCTGATCCCTGGCTTGTCTGACCATCCCTCTGCCTGACCCTCTGTACTACGCTGCCTGCTACCTGTTCTGATCCCTGGCTTGTGACCCTGACCATCCCTCTGCCTGACCCTCTGTACTACGCTGCTAGCTACCTGCTGAACCTGGCCTGTGACCCCGACCAATCTCCGCTTGCTCCCCCTGTACCTACCTGCCCAATTGATATTGACCCGGCCTGCCTGACGACGCTTGCTTGTATGTACTGTTATCTGTGGGTGGTTGGTTTGGTTTGTTTGCACTGTATTATGTTTAGTATTGCACTGCGTTTATGTTTGTATTGTAAGTGTTAATAAATTATATTGTTTATCACATATCTGAAGTCTGCGTTTCCCTGCGTCAGCCACACACCTCTGGTCACACCTGGGAGCCCTGACAGTTACCTATAACGCTGCCACCTCCCCCTCACTCCCCCTCTCTGTTGGGGTTCCTCAAGGTTCTGTCCTCAGGCCCCTTCTCTTTTCCATCTACACGTCCTCCCTTGGTCAACTGATACACTCCCACAGCTTCAACTACCATCTCTATGCCGATGACACTCAAATCTATCTGTCTACCCCTCGCCTCACCCCTTCAGTCTCTACCTGAATCACTAGCCTTCTGAACGACATATCAGACTGGATGTCACTGCACTTCCTCAAATTAAACCTTGCCAAAACCGAGCTCCTAGTTTTGCCCCCAGCCCTCGCCCCCCCTCCCCCCGAGCTCTTCATCACGACCAACAACGCCACCATCAGCCCCACCCCGCAAGCCAAAGTACTAGGTGTCATCCTAGAGTCCAATCTGTCTTTCCAGCCCCAGGTCCAATCGCTGACAAATTCATGCAGACTCCACCTCTGCAACATCTCCAAAATATGTCCGTTCCTAACTCCAGAAACTACAAAGCAACTCATTCACTTCCTTGTTATATCTCGACTTGACTACTGTAACTCCCTCCTCATCGGCCTACCTCAACACAGGCTATCCCCGCTTCAGTCTATCCTAAATTCTGCGGCCAGACTCATCCAACTTACTAACCGCTCTATATCCATCACCCCTCTGCCAATCCCTCCACTGGCTTCCGATTGCCCAACGCATAAAATTCAAATTACTAACATTGACGTACAAAGCTGTTCATAACATTTCCCCAAACGACATCACCGACCTGATATCCATCTACCACCCAAAACGCACTCTCCGCTCCTCACAAGACCTCCTACACTCTAGTTCCCTGGTCTCCTCCTCCCATGCCCATCTCCAGGACTTCTCGAGGGCTTCCCCCATCCTCTGGAACTCACTACCCTAATCCATCAATCTGTCACCTACCCTCCTCACCTTAGGCGCACCCTGAAAACCCATCTCTTTAGAGAAGCCTACCCCGCCCTCACCAAATTGCCGATCTCCTCCACTCTTCCCACCACTCCTCCACCCCCCACAGCTATTTCCTCCAGTACCATTCTCCCCTCCCTCCTAGATTGCAAGCTCCAAGGAGCAGGCCCCTGAACCCCTCGTGTATTGTATTGTATTGTTACTGTGCTGTCTCGTGTACTGTCTCCCATCATGATGTACAGCGCTGAGCAAACTGTTGGCGCTATATAAATACTGTATATTAATAATTATACCACAGACGTCCAAGGGCCTACCTCTATTAGCTACACATTGCATCTCGGCAAATGGTATGTTATCCAGGGATGAACTACATGATTTTAGCAATGGAAACTTGATACCTTTCTAGACCTACCTTCAAATGCTTGACTGTATCCAGAACCAAAAGCAAAAAATGTCCTTTTCCAAGGCTCTTACTCAGTTAGTAACAATATGTCTTCAGGAAATTGATACGAAGATTACCGCATCCCTAGCTTACTCATGGCTTCAAACAAAAGCCAATGAGAAACCAGATAACTTTAAACAGTTTTGGGAAAGGTCATTAGACACAACTTTCACAGATACACAATGGCTAAATGCTTGTTCTTTAAGTCATAAATGTTCCCTCAGTACGAGTTTGCAAGAGACATCATATATAAATTACTTACACATTGGTATGCTACACCTGACAGAGTTCATAAATGGTGTCCCCAGAGCTCAGACATATGTTGCCAATGTGGTAGTGAAAGAGGTACTTTCCTACACATATGGTGGCACTGCCCTCTAATTGCACCCTTTTGGAATGATATCTGATCCCTTATTTTAAAAATTACCAAAACGGATCTCAACTTAGATGCCACCTGCTGTCTGTTACCCATCTCCTCATTCTCTTATAAATGTTACAAGAACTTCCTGACAAAACACCTCCTCAACACCACCAAATCTCTTATTTCCAAACTTTGGAAAACAAAAGGAACACCTACAATAAAAAATTGGCTGCAGGAAATGGATAAGATCAACCACATGGAAGAAACTCTGACCGACCAACTGTCTAAATATCACAAAATCTGGAATACATGGTTCCTTTTCACTTACTCTGATGAAAAAATACATGTCTCCATGATCAACCTATACTTTAACACTCAGAACACTAGATGAAGTAGCTATATTCCCAATGTTTGTCTTTAGGAGGAAGGGGGGAAAAAAGAAATAATATTTTTTTTCTTCTCTCTCTCTCTCTCTCTCCCTCATCTGTGACTATTATCTTCTTCTTACTCCTTAACCTTCCTTACTTTTCCTTCTTTATGCATGTTGCCACTACACAATTTATAAAAGTTTGGTTCACACGAGAGATACCGCAATACATTATGTTTGAAATGTTTTGTACCTTGAGTTCAGTATAATTTTCGAATTTTATTATGCTCCTTGTTAACTATGCAAAATATCTTAATGTAAATTGCTCTTTGAGACAAAATCTTTTCTATTTTATTATGTTGGAAAAATGTCTAACTTTTTTTTCAAAAAAAATCTAATTGTTAAAAAAAAAAAAAAAATATATAAAAAAAAAAAAAATATATATATATATATATAAACAAATTTTTGTGAACAGGAAGAGCAAAAAAACATTTAAGTAGACTTTTCCACATTTACCCCAGAGAGTAAAATAAAATAAATATGCAGGAGG